AAAAAAAAAAAAAAAAAAAACTGAAAAAAGATATGTTATGAAGAAAAATAAATTAAACAAGATTTGCCTGAGCATTATATCCAAATTCTTTACCAAATTTGAAATAAAAATAAAATACGAAAAACAAATACTACTAATAAAAAATAATAATAAAAAAAAGAATTCAATTTAGTGAGTGAGCGAGCACGTTTTCGACACCAACATCTTCGGCGATTTTTCATTTTGTTTTAGCATAGATAAATGCTCTGATAATTTACATATGTGTACTTCACATAATGAAAAACCCACTAAAAAAGTTTCAAAAAATAATAAAATTGTATAGACCCCGAACTAAAGTGAAAACAACAGTAAAAAGTGAAAACAACAGTAAAAAGTGAAAACAACAGTAAAAAGTGAAAAAAAATGTGGGCGAGCACGTTTTGATACTGCCATCTTTGGCGATTTTTAATTCTTGTTTGCCTGAGCCAAATGACTTGAAAATTTATAGACATGTACCTCAGGTCATAGAGAACTCACAAAAAAAAACTCAGAAAAAAAAGAATATTTTTAGGCCCCGAAATAATTTTTGGCGGGGGCCGAACGCCGTCGGGTTCGGACCCCGTACGGGACCCCGAACGCCCGTACGTACGGAGGTCGGCCCGGGGAAGTTTGGCTTTGGGATTGATGGTGGATTCTCAGGTTGAGGACGGATTGGTGGATACCTGTGTTATTCATTGAATATCTAGTCGTCTATTCACGGAGTTCATTCTTTGTGATTGTGACATACTCTGAGTCTTCTTGGCTTACTTTGAGTGATGTATTCCTATTCCTATTCCTAAGAATTTGAACACGACTCCAAGGGAAAAGTTGCGTGTATGGTTGTTTTTTACATGACATTTTTTTTTTTTTTTTCAGATGTTCCTGAGATTTGTTTTTTTGTTCTTTAACATTTTTTTATGTTCACGTCGGAGGGTTTTGGGCGCTAGTTCGCGTTCGTGCAAACCTATTCGTGTTCCCCTCCCAACGCCAACACGATGCTACGCAGGTCATACCTACACAGTACTTAGAACGGCACACATGTCACTTAGCACAACACGCATGTCATAGGCACACAGTACTTAGTAGTAGCACACAGACACACAACATGACAGTTGATACAAACTCGATTTTTTTTTTTTTTTTAAACAGGGCCTTATGGTCCTGGCACAAACTCGAAAAGTTTTTATGACTCATATAAGTTCAAAACTCAAAACTCAAAACTCAAAATTTACAATGCTCGGCCTTCAGCAGCCTGTTGCTGATCCCACTAGCTCACAGCATAGGGAGTAATACATGCCTTCTTGTTTCTACAAAAAGGCCAAAAACACCCAGCGCAGCTTTACGCTAAATAGCTGAAGTGAGATTAACCAATCGAAATGAGGTTATTGCACAGGATTTCTGGAAGTGCCGGTCAAAGCCACGGAGCAAACAGAGGCTCGCACCTCCGAGGCCAGCTCACAAAAGCATAATGGTACAC